GAGACACTGACAATTTACTTCTGCAGTCCCACCTCTGCCCCCGTGTTCTGACGCATGCCTGACCCCGTAGTGCAGGGCAAAGTCTACAGCGCATTTCAGTGGAGTTTGCTGCATGGGGGGAGCATTGTAGCTAACTTAATTGTGCCGTTGTTATGAGAAAAGGACCTGATCTCTTAAGCTAATCAATCAGCGCTTCTGTGGAAACACAGCATCAGTAGCAAAATCCAACAGAATAAGACTTCCAGGTGTAGTTCGGTAGCTATTTTTCCATACGCTCCTTACTCTAAGATGATCTTTTTCTATATCAATACTGATATCACTGATATATGATCATACATTATATCTTAGGTATAGCATAGTGGCTTTTTACTTCTACTTGTGTTCTGTTCTACCTTGTTGTGTCTTGTACATTAATCATGCACTTATAAAGATACCGTAATATACCTTTAAGATCCGGTTTGTGGTGTTTGCACTGTTTGAAGGCTCAAGGTTTGTTTTGACGCTTACCTTTTTTCTTCTTTCCAGAATTTGGTAATCATTGCTCCGCTTTCATCACCTTACAATAGATGATAGATGTCAAATGCTAAGGGTTCAAGATTACTAGGCCTCTTTCAGATATGATATCCACCTCTATATATCTATAATATTTCTTAGTCGTAAATACATCGTTATGAATGTATTTATGCCCCAAAAGAAATATATATGAAAATGTAAGAGCCTTCACTACATTGCTTATTTTGTACCAAAAGTTAATAAACTTTGTATTTTAAAAATCAAGCTAAAATATTTATCTTCTGATTAAAATACGTAGACCTGCAACAATAGTCTTTAAAAAAAAATCTTTGGATTAGCGAAATATTTTACTGATGTTGCCCCCTGGTGGAAGGACAAGGGAGTTTTTCAGCAGCAAAGCACTTTCATATCAGAAAAAGCAGTCCTTTTTAACACCGAAATTGAGAATAGCAGCCAATTTAAAATAGAATTTCAAGTTTTCTTTTTCAAACGATCACAACACATTATGTAACACAATAACAAGTACATTTAAATTATATCAGCCTGAAACAGGCAGCTAAAAAATACTGTTTTTTCTGTGCAGCATGATGGAGTACTCAATGTGACCTTCAGTGAAGATTCTATTATCTCATCTTCATTATATTACCTCTCTATTGTCTTGCTGCAAGGAACTTTAGGGGGGGTTGCAGTCTATATATGCCTGTCTCTAAGTTCATAACTGAACCTGTCCTTTTTGTTGTATTTAACTGCTCCAGTTGACCATTGCGGATATTTAAGACAAACTATTAGTAATAAAAACTTCTGAGTTCACAAAGGGATAGGAAATAATTCAGCAATATATTCAGAAAAGCAAGACTGTTTAGGCCAAAAACCAAACAAATGAAAAAAAAAGCCACTTAAGAATTCAGGAAAGCTTGTTAGCTTTGCTGAATGAAGGCCTTAGACTGTAAAATGTCCAGGGCAGAAGGCTACTTGCTTGTACACAATCTAACACAATCTAGTCTCTAACTGGAATCTTTCCCATTAATGCATTATTATTTCACTGAGTACTTTCTGATTTGACAGCTCTAAATATTAATATTGATGTGCACAAAATCTGAGGCCATACAAGAATAAATTAAAAGACTTGATGAGACATCTATTTGATGGGCTCATCCTTCAAAAAAAAAAAGGATCTTTTTCATTATGGTCCAAAATATGCACTGTAACAATTGACCCAGGAAGAGTTCAATGCTACAGTCAACAGGCTGATGTGGTGCTATGCTGGGATGCAGATATAGTATGCCCAATATGCATTATATTTATATTTTTCAGTCAATGAGGACCCACTAAATTGTTTCAGCTTTAATTCAGGAACCACTTTGTGGCCTTTGTGCTAGAATATATATAGAGACCAATTAGACTTGTAAACAATACCACAGATTATTGGTATAATAATGCTAATCACTATTAGTACTATTCAAAGGTCTCTGACAATACACTTTTGTGTCATAATCAAACTCCACTGTCCTAAAGGCCTGATCCAAAGTCCGTTGAAATCAATGGGAGTTTTTCCATGGCCTTCCATGGGATTCTGGATCAGGCCATTATGCAGTAAATGCTTGTTATGATTTCACTACAGAAGTTTTTACATATTGGCTAGGAGCAAATATATCTGCTTCAAACCACCCAATAAGAGCACAAAACAACTCAAGAAGCTATTGGAACAACAGTGGGATGATGCAGTGAGTTGCAAATCACTGCAGTTGCTTTCAGGCAGAATTCTGACTACTGTATTTGTGATTAACCCTGCATCATTTAATCAGATAAAATCTCCTCTCCACTGACTATCAAACTTGTTTATACAGCATGGGGCATTTAAGGACTCATTCTTTTCAGGCTCCAGTTTGGGGGGAAAATAAGGTTCTCCTCATGTCTTTTATGATTAGTATATCTCTAACAAATTAATTAATTAAAAGATCACAACTATATTTTGAGAGGTCAGTTCTTCACATTAATATCTAACTAACCTAGTGTCCTTTTTAGCACACACCTCACTTCTATCTGAATGCAGTGCCATCTATTTAGAAGTTTATTTAGCCAGCCTGATTGTACATATTGACTTTAAGATTTGCATTTGGGTCTTTGAACCCAGTAGCTGAATTAATTGAATCATAGATGAACACCATATATTGTTTTCAGAATACATATCTTTAAATTACATCACTATATACCAGTAAAATAGATTACATATTATTACTATTATTTAAATATACATTTGGATCCTGGGAATGCTATTAGTTGCCTTCTTTTTGCTGCATCATACCTTATAAAAATGTACTTGCCCATTCTAATGAAGAATGTATACTAATACATGATAGTAATGTTACAATGAAGCATATTTTATAATGCAAGAACAAATTGCTGGCTACTTTGCAAATATACATTTGAGAGGATTTCTCCAAAATTCATACATATATATCCTTTCAGCCTGAATGTTTTGGATGTCTGTCTTCTAAAAGGTTTTCCAAATTTCATCTATATCTTTTATCATATCTTTTATCTTCAAAGAAGCAGCATCCCATTTGGTACAGTTTTAAATAGTCTATAAAAATTCAGCAGTAACATGCATGCCTACAAGAGACTCCAAGTTGATTTGAGGTATGATGCAAGTGTGAGAAGGACTCCAAGATGAAGAATGAAATCCTGAAGTCAGTTGGTCCTTCACTTCAGTGAAGCTGAGATTTCACCTTAAGAATAGTAAGACCTGGACCATGTTTGGGACTGAGGAACTACAAACTCCTAAAATGATGGTGGAAATAATCATTTCTGTCCTTCAGTTAGGAAATGTGATGGCAAAAAAAAATGATGGAGGGAAGTCTTGTCTGGAAGAAACAACAGGTTGTCTATGTTATCTGTACTTCAATATCATTTTATGTTAATCGGTTGCTTTTAAATAAAACTTGGATTCCAGATGAAAAAGGGAGACAATGACAACTTCACCCATTTGTGTGCCATTCTTCTGATCCCCACCAGAGGTGTGTTCTAGGCAAGTCAAATAGAAGAACTTAGAGCAGCCCTTGGCCAATCAAGTTGTCCTGTTCTGCTAGCCCTGGTCAGTAGTACCTAATGATCAGCTACATTAAGAGCTGTAAAGGTCAGGTAATTTTATGCATGAAAGTGTGGTCTCTATACACTATTGGCATCTATTAAAAGGGTCTTTATGCTTAGTACTGCTCTTAAACCTATTTCTGAAATATCCAGGATCCACTACTTCCTAAATCTGAAGTGGCATTACATATGCTCATGGCCAAACAAACTAACCCTTTCCAAAGCCAGGAGCATGACTGCAAACCCACAATGCAAAGAGAGTAGTGTGGCTACTGTGGAATTACACTGAGAGGTGAAACTATAACATACATACTAAAGCTACTTATAATTGTTTCCTGCTTTCCCCATTCTCCTTATGTTGGTATCTTGGATTTTAGACCACTTGGGCCAGGGGTGGTATCTTCTCGTTTGTCTGTA